TGACAGCAAAGCAGTAAAATGGTATAACGGTGAGTAAAAATTACCTTCAACAGCATGCAGCAAAATAAGAGTGAGTTCCAAAATTAAACTTTGTAAAATCTTTGCTAAAGCTTTGTGTGACAAACTTACCATCATTTAAGAACTAAAGAATAAGATGAAATAATTACAGTAAAATAGTATAACAGTGAGTTAAAATTAAACAGCATTTTTTAATTACCTTCAAAATCTTTGCTAAAGCTTTGTGTGACAAACTTACCATCAGTAAACAAGTGAAGAATAAATTGAAATAATGACAGTAAAGCAGTAAAATGGTATAACGGTGAGTAAAAATTAAACAGCATTACAAATTACCTTCAACAGCATGCAGCAAAATAAGAGAGTGTTCCAAATTACTTTGCTATTGCTTTGTCTTACAAACTTGCCATCATTATCACTCCAAAGCTGTAGCCTAGTCTTAAACTTGTGAGTCTTAAAACTTTAATCCTTCTAGAGTCTGTGTCTCCTCTTCTCTGTCCTCTCTCTTTCTGGTGTAGCATAGGCTGTGGGGTGAATTGAGGAATGTGCTCCACCCCCCGCACCTCCCTCTGTTTTCTCAACGAGTCGTGTTGGGGAGTCCTGGAACACCTCCCTCTGTTTTCTCAACGAGTCGTGTTGGGGAGTCCTGGAACACCTCCCTCTGTTTTCTCAATGAGGCGTGTTGTGTGTTTAGCTGCCATCCTCAGGTAATCTTGTAGACCAGTTATTAACTTTGGTTATCTATAACCCAGACTCCGGATGTTGGTTTTGTCAGACAGAGTTCGTGAGTTCGTTTTTGAAACAGGAAGCTATTTTTATCAGCCGGAGACAAGAGTTTGGAACTAAATAATAATCTGGTTGTACCAGAAGTAACGGCCCCAACCCCTCATCAGTTATCTCCCACATGCAGAGCAGCACTCGTGTGTTTTTTTTGTTTTTACTTCTATAAGTACCCTACCAGAAATCCAGAGGTCTTCACACTAGTGACTTGAAACCAGAGCGATGACCATCAAAGAGAACACGGTACGCATTCAGCCTTTCCTCCACAACTAAAGAAATAGCAAAAATCGACACTTTGTATTTTCATTCCTGCGTGTTTTCAATTAACAGTTTTTGACTTGATCGACAATGGGCTTCATTCAACCGAATATCAACTTGAAGGTAAGAGGGCCTTCTATGTACTAGAGTGAAATAGAAATGTTCTAAATTTAAAAGTGTACTATCCTGATGTGTATTTTGTATATTGTTTTTACAGATTTGTACTCAGGCGAGGAAATAGGTTCTACAAGGGAGAATGGCATTCCATCAGCGCAGGTTGTAGATCTCACAGGAGAAGTCGGTAAGTAAGGTTACCTTAACTTTTAATCAGTGTGTAGGTTTTATTTATTTATTTACAAACTTTTACGTAGATGTGGTAACAGTACTCTTTTCTTTCATTACACCCACAGATGGTGCGAGCGATTGTGAACGGTACTTTATGCAGGGTCTCTCCCCTACCAATTACGAGGAGAACGGTCCGGTTCCGGAATCGGATCAGCCCTCGGCTTCGGTACCGCAAGTGTACATAACACCGGGCTCCCCGGAACACGTTGAGCCGGATTTGTCCCCGGAATCACCCGTCGATGATGTAGAGCGCTCCAGTCAGGCCGCAGATGGGAGGTCACGTAACGGATCACCGGTAGAAGCGCGGGGACTGATAGCGGAGGAAATCATTCATCCGGACCCAGCAGAACCGTGTACGCCGCTGAATCAGACTGAGCCTATACCGAACAACGGACCTCGGAAAAGGGAACACCGTAGAAGGCTCATTTCAACCAGCAGCAGCAGCAGGAGCAGTAGTAGGAGCAGCAGTAAGTAAATTGTTATAACGCTCTAAAACCATTAACCTAGCAAATATGCAGTCATAAAAAAAGTATAGCCTATATACACAGTTTCCCGTGATACCATGTTGCTGATTATTAGGCTATACAATTAATGAGTTAAAAGTATTCCACACTATTTTCTCAAATACAACAGCATGTCAAATGTTCTATGCAGAAAGTAGTCTTATGAGTTAACCTGACTCTAAAAGCTATTTTGCTTCTTTTTCATAAAGTAGGCTATTACTGTGGTGTTTGTTCGTTTGTTTTGCACTTCTACAGTGTTTTGGTACTGATGTCTGACATTCAGGGTATTTAGTTAAAAAACTAGTTTGCTTGTTTGCTATAAAGTATTAATGTAGTGATTTGTAGGGGTGATGCCTGACTTTCTGTATTAAAATACACAAAAGAGGTTAAAGTGTCTTTGTTTTTGTGTCCCTCCAGCAAACAGACCCCGACGATCCGTGAGAGGCTGTCAGAATTGCTGTCGGACTGCCCATGAACAACTAGTTCTAATGAGTAATGCTTTCCGACTAATGGGTGAAATGCTGGCTGTCTACAGTGATCATAATTAGTAAGGTGATTTATCTGAATTTGTTTTAAATGATTTTTTTTGTTTGTTTCATTTGGTAATTGTTTTTATTGTTGATTTTCACTTGCAATAGTTAGATAAACGTGTTTATCCTGTTTTTTATAGTGTCTGTTTTAAGGTTTAAGTGTGTTTTGATTTTATGATAATGGATGAAAACAAACCGTTAGGGCTTAGGCAGAGTTTATCAGACGAGGTAGATCGACATTATCAGAATGAGTCAAACTTTCAAAATGGTATAACTGAAAATAGTGTAATTGAAAACGAGACCTCCTCCAGTCAGTTCTTAGATCCGTTACACGCTATAAATCAAGCTCTCGTTGATCTGGAACGCTTAGAAAATGAAATACCAACTGCTTTATTAGATGAAATCAACCAAATGAATGAACCCTTTCACCAAAACAACATCCCCTCTTTACCCGAACCCGAGCATATTCCTGTCTTAAACTCATCTGTGTCTCCAGACCTGTTGATTCAAATACAAAATGCTCTCTCCGAGCTTGAAAATAATGCAATCCCTGCCTTAAACCCCTCTACATCCTCGACCTATCAGACCCCCATTAACTCCCCCCTCATGGAGCAGGTAGCCAACACTCCTCCCTTGCAACAGCAAGGGGGCAGCGTGTCTCAAAATAATGACCCTGTGGCACCTCAAGCAAGAGTCATATCACGACATAGATTCTGTAATTATGAAATACGTCAGGTGTTGCGCTTTCCTTCTCCAACCAATTCAGAGGGTGTTGTGGATTATGCTCAGTTTTACAATGGTACACTGGAGCAGGTAGATGCGATTTTACAACAAGCCTTGTCACACAGGAGACCCCAAGATGTGGTGCAGTTGGAGCTAAGAGGTGAAAATCTCCGTAATAATGTATCAGTTATCTTACAGGATGGTGATGTTGACAATTTAGCGGGTTTTGAAAGACTTTTGCTTCGCATAGTACAATCCAATTGGACCATTATGACAGATGGTGATCTAGAACTGGTTCTCCAAGTGATCACCTGCCCTACAGGCGCGGGTAAAAGAGCAATGGTGGATAAAATGTTACAAAGCGAAATCTTAAAAAAAAACAACGCTTTCTGTACATTGTAGAAAACGAGGGGAATCACTTGTGTTTCGCCGTCTGTCTGGCTCATCTTCTACATCCCCTCCTCAACGATAGACAGGCTCTTGAATGCGGCAGAGAGATTCAAAACAAAGTGGGAATGGATGAACAGACACCTGTAGCCTTAAGCGACATCACGCGATTTGAACGTGCTTTGGACTGCAAAATTGTAGTGTTTTATAGAGGAGACGACGATAGGGCCCTCTGTAAATTCATGACCAAAAGCCCAAGACAGAGTAAAACCCTATTTTTGTTTCTCTTTCAGAACCACTACTATGGTATAAAAAATCTAAAGGCCTTTCTGGGTTCCCCATATCTGTGTGAGTACTGTTACACAGGGTACAACGGTGTGCTGAGTCACCGATGCCCTGCTCATTGTTCCGTTTGCTTTGACCCTACCTGTAATCAGAAGGGGTTCCAGCCTATTGTGTGTAAAGAGTGTAACAGGACATGTCGTTCAGAATTCTGTCTGACAAAGCACAAAGAGCCTACAGAGAGGCCCAGAACCAAAAAATTAGCCAGCACGTGCTCGTTGTACAAAAAATGTAACAAATGTGCACAGCTTTACTACTCAGCGATGAGTGGTGAAGGTAAACCACACACATGTCCTGCGGTGAAGTGTAAAATCTGTGGTGAGAAGTTGACCTCTGACGTTACAGATAAGAGGGAGATGCACCAATGCTACATCCAGACACTACCACCTGAAACAAAACACACAGAAAAATTGGTGTTTTATGATTTTGAAACATACGTCAATGAAAATGGCGTTCACATACCCTTTTTGGTGTGTACAAAAACGTTAGATGGCAAAACATGGAGCTCTCAAGGCAGAAATTGTGCCAACGAGTTTCTCACGCATTTCAGACGCCCTCTGTACAAAAATGCTGTGTTTATTGCTCACAATGCTCGAGGTTTTGACTCCTACCTACTCCTCAACGCCATGCTTGAACAAGCATTAAAACCCTCTTTGATTTTGCAAGGTTCAAAAGTCATCTGTATGACAGATCCTGATTTTAATCAAAAATACATTGACTCACTGTCCTTTCTTTCCATGCGTTTAGCCGATATGCCAAAAGCTCTCGGTTTTGATGACAGAATTAAAGGCTATTTTCCCCATAATTTTAGCTCACCTGCCCATTTGACCTACACAGGTCCCTACCCGGAGCCAAAAATGTACGGTACAGAACGCATGACTACGGTACAGCTGAAAGACTTTAACACCTGGTAGGAGACGGCGCGCTGCGGTACATTTGATTTCATGAGAGAGGCCCGCCTCTATTGTGAAAACGATGTTGAGATTCTCGCAGAGGGATGCAAGCTGTTCAGAAAACAGTATATTGATGAAACAGCGGTTGACCCTTTTAGCCGCGCGACTATAGCATCTGCATGCATGAAAGTGTTTGTGACCAACTTCCTTCCTCCTAAAAGTTTGGCCATCCCCGATCCCAATAACTACACACGCCAGTTCAAAACGTATTCGAACGCAGGCATACAGTGGCTGCATTGGGTGGCTAGCACCGAAAACATCTTCATTCAACATGCTTTAAATGAGGGGGAAAAACAACTAGGAAAATACTTTGTAGATGGTTTTGCAGAGATCCAAGGTGTGAAATATGTATGGGAGTTTCTGGGATGTTTTTTCCATGGCTGTCCGAGTTGTTTCAAAGCTCATGAGACCAATCCTTTGACCGGCTACCCTTTTGAGGAGATGCATGCGAGGAGCGAGGAGAAATTACGTGAGTTACAGGCCATCCACAATGCTAAAGTGATTGTCATGAGAGAGCACACATGGACCGAGATGAAAAAATCACATCAGGGGTTAAAAGATTTTCTCAAACAGTATAAAGCTCCTCAACCTCTCTCACCCCGCGAAGCTTTGTATGGGGGTCGAACCTGTGCAGTAAAGTTGAGACACACTGCGGGTGCTAATGAAACGGTAGACTACTTTGATGTGACATCGCTGTATCCCTATGTCAACTGTAACTTTCCCTATCCTTTGGGGCACCCAAAAATAATCTACAAAGATTTCAAAGAACCCCAAAGCTACTTTGGAATAATCAGAGCCAAAATCTGTCCACCACAGGGTTTATTTTTTCCTGTTTTGCCCTATAGAACTGCAGCTGGTAAACTTGTCTTCACACTCTGCCGAACGTGCGCTGAACTTAATTTTCAGGAGGGTCCATGTCAACACAGTGATGAGGACAGAGCGATGACAGGGGTCTGGGTCACTCCTGAATTTAACAAGGCCTTGGAGATGGGGTATCGGGTAGCTGAGATCACAGAGGTATGGCAATTTGATAGACAGAGCGACTCGATTTTTGTTCAGTACATGCACACTTTTCTCGGGCTGCCTGATCTTTGGCTTCAGGGGGGTATCCTGAAGCTTCCTGTTTACCCTTCAGAAAAGTGTGCATGTACTGAACAAAAATCGAGTCGCTCTGTCTATCAAATTGCCATACCTCTGTGATCTCAGCTACCCGATACCCCATCTCCAAGGCCTTGTTAAATTCAGGAGTGACCCAGACCCCTGTCATCGCTCTGTCCTCATCACTGTGTTGACATGGACCCTCCTGAAAATTAAGTTCAGCGCACGTTCGGCAGAGTGTGAAGACAAGTTTACCAGCTGCAGTTCTATAGGGCAAAACAGGAAAAAATAAACCCTGTGGTGGACAGATTTTGGCTCTGATTATTCCAAAGTAGCTTTGGGGTTCTTTGAAATCTTTGTAGATTATTTTTGGGTGCCCCAAAGGATAGGGAAAGTTACAGTTGACATAGGGATACAGCGATGTCACATCAAAGTAGTCTACCGTTTCATTAGCACCCGCAGTGTGTCTCAACTTTACTGCACAGGTTCGACCCCCATACAAAGCTTCGCGGGGTGAGAGAGGTTGAGGAGCTTTATACTGTTTGAGAAAATCTTTTAACCCCTGATGTGATTTTTTCATCTCGGTCCATGTGTGCTCTCTCATGACAATCACTTTAGCATTGTGGATGGCCTGTAACTCACGTAATTTCTCCTCGCTCCTCGCATGCATCTCCTCAAAAGGGTAGCCGGTCAAAGGATTGGTCTCATGAGCTTTGAAACAACTCGGACAGCCATGGAAAAAACATCCCAGAAACTCCCATACATATTTCACACCTTGGATCTCTGCAAAACCATCTACAAAGTATTTTCCTAGTTGTTTTTCCCCCTCATTTAAAGCATGTTGAATGAAGATGTTTTCGGTGCTAGCCACCCAATGCAGCCACTGTATGCCTGCGTTCGAATACGTTTTGAACTGGCGTGTGTAGTTATTGGGATCGGGGATGGCCAAACTTTTAGGAGGAAGGAAGTTGGTCACAAACACTTTCATGCATGCAGATGCTATAGTCGCGCGGCTAAAAGGGTCAACCGCTGTTTCATCAATATACTGTTTTCTGAACAGCTTGCATCCCTCTGCGAGAATCTCAACATCGTTTTCACAATAGAGGCGGGCCTCTCTCATGAAATCAAATGTACCGCAGCGCGCCGTCTCCTACCAGGTGTTAAAGTCTTTCAGCTGTACCGTAGTCATGCGTTCTGTACCGTACATTTTTGGCTCCGGGTAGGGACCTGTGTAGGTCAAATGGGCAGGTGAGCTAAAATTATGGGGAAAATAGCCTTTAATTCTGTCATCAAAACCGAGAGCTTTTGGCATATCGGCTAAACGCATGGAAAGAAAGGACAGTGAGTCAATGTATTTTTGATTAAAATCAGGATCTGTCATACAGATGACTTTTGAACCTTGCAAAATCAAAGAGGGTTTTAATGCTTGTTCAAGCATGGCGTTGAGGAGTAGGTAGGAGTCAAAACCTCGAGCATTGTGAGCAATAAACACAGCATTTTTGTACAGAGGGCGTCTGAAATGCGTGAGAAACTCGTTGGCACAATTTCTGCCTTGAGAGCTCCATGTTTTGCCATCTAACGTTTTTGTACACACCAAAAAGGGTATGTGAACGCCATTTTCATTGACGTATGTTTCAAAATCATAAAACACCAATTTTTCTGTGTGTTTTGTTTCAGGTGGTAGTGTCTGGATGTAGCATTGGTGCATCTCCCTCTTATCTGTAACGTCAGAGGTCAACTTCTCACCACAGATTTTACACTTCACCGCAGGACATGTGTGTGGTTTACCTTCACCACTCATCGCTGAGTAGTAAAGCTGTGCACATTTGTTACATTTTTTGTACAACGAGCACGTGCTGGCTAATTTTTTGGTTCTGGGCCTCTCTGTAGGCTCTTTGTGCTTTGTCAGACAGAATTCTGAACGACATGTCCTGTTACACTCTTTACACACAATAGGCTGGAACCCCTTCTGATTACAGGTAGGGTCAAAGCAAACGGAACAATGAGCAGGGCATCGGTGACTCAGCACACCGTTGTACCCTGTGTAACAGTACTCACACAGATATGGGGAACCCAGAAAGGCCTTTAGATTTTTTATACCATAGTAGTGGTTCTGAAAGAGAAACAAAAATAGGGTTTTACTCTGTCTTGGGCTTTTGGTCATGAATTTACAGAGGGCCCTATCGTCGTCTCCTCTATAAAACACTACAATTTTGCAGTCCAAAGCACGTTCAAATCGCGTGATGTCGCTTAAGGCTACAGGTGTCTGTTCATCCATTCCCACTTTGTTTTGAATCTCTCTGCCGCATTCAAGAGCCTGTCTATCGTTGAGGAGGGGATGTAGAAGATGAGCCAGACAGACGGCGAAACACAAGTGATTCCCCTCGTTTTCTACAATGTACAGAAAGCGTTGTTTTTTTTTTAAGATTTCGCTTTGTAACATTTTATCCACCATTGCTCTTTTACCCGCGCCTGTAGGGCAGGTGATCACTTGGAGAACCAGTTCTAGATCACCATCTGTCATAATGGTCCAATTGGATTGTACTATGCGAAGCAAAAGTCTTTCAAAACCCGCTAAATTGTCAACATCACCATCCTGTAAGATAACTGATACATTATTACGGAGATTTTCACCTCTTAGCTCCAACTGCACCACATCTTGGGGTCTCCTGTGTGACAAGGCTTGTTGTAAAATCGCATCTACCTGCTCCAGTGTACCATTGTAAAACTGAGCATAATCCACAACACCCTCTGAATTGGTTGGAGAAGGAAAGCGCAACACCTGACGTATTTCATAATTACAGAATCTATGTCGTGATATGACTCTTGCTTGAGGTGCCACAGGGTCATTATTTTGAGACACGCTGCCCCCTTGCTGTTGCAAGGGAGGAGTGTTGGCTACCTGCTCCATGAGGGGGGAGTTAATGGGGGTCTGATAGGTCGAGGATGTAGAGGGGTTTAAGGCAGGGATTGCATTATTTTCAAGCTCGGAGAGAGCATTTTGTATTTGAATCAACA